AACTCAGTCCAGCCAGACGAGACGTATACCAATTTTCTCCAGACTACTGAGACAAATTTTGCTTCTGTTTGGATTCTTCAAGTGGATGATTGTGAGACTCGTTATGGAATAGTAAAGGGGAGGGGACAGTTCGCTGTCTGCCCAGTCTTTCCATCTCTTATCCTTTGTGCCAGGTAACTGCTGGCTCTTGCAGCCGCTGCTTTGGGGCTTGGGGGCTGGCTCTTGGAGCCATTGGATTGAGGCTTGGCGCCAGGCTCTTGAGCCCGTTGTTGTTTTGGGGCTTGGCGAATGGGCTTCTACAACGAGGCTTCTCACCGATAGCTCCGCTGCCGCGCCTAAAGCTTTCCAGCCGCGTCGGATGCCTGGGAGACTCCCGCCGTTCGCGGCGCGGTTTATCCGGAAGCAGCTGCGTATCACCCGCCGTTCGCGGCGCGGTTTATCCAGCTTCTTGGCTACTGAGCGTGGCGGGAGTGCGCCGCCAACGCCGCCAGCTTGCTCCATGCTGTGGAGTTTCAGGGCGGCTTGCTAGCTGAAGGGCAAGTTTAAAATTGGCGCCCGAATTGCGGTCGCCATTTTGGGACCGTTTTTAGCGCATGCGCCCTAGGCAGCTGAGATCGAGGCGTTGTATTTCTTCGCGACGGGAAGGCTGCTGAGTCATCGCCCCTCCCACTTCCCTCACTTCGAGCCTGGTCACCCTGGTGAGAGGATCGTGCTACCGCTGCCTTTGCTGACCACGAGGCCCGCCGTTCTTACATAGTAAACCTGTGCCTTTTGTGCTATTTGAGTCTTTTCACTTCTAAAGTTACAATGGCCGATCAATCCACCTCAGGAGGTATTGTAGAGCCCTCTACTGATGCCCAGCATTCTGCCCAGGCGGGGGTTAGCTCGAGGCCTGGCAGGGCCGCCTCTAGAGCCACCAGTCAGAGGCCCAGGGACACCTCTGGGGCTCCGGATAAGGGTCATAAGAAAAAGGATAAATCAATGACAGCACCTAAGGCCTCTGGGGAGGGTAGGGTTTCTCCTCCCATGCTAGTGCCTCAGCGGGTTAGCAATAGCAATAGCAATAGCAGTTAGACTTATATACCGCTTCATAGGGCTTTCAGCCCTCTCTAAGCGGTTTACAGAGTCAGCATATCGCCCCCAACAACAATCCGGGTCCTCGGGACTTCCGGGGTGGATCTT